TGGTACTGTATAAATATTAGATATCTTTGCTATCTTATACTATATAATTATAAAAAATTAAAATAATATATACTGAGTTAATAACTAAATTCAAATTAATTTTTATATAGATTTTAATTTGGACAAAAATTTTAAAAGATTGGGATACAAGGCTTAGTAAATATAGTCAGAATATTCTTTTTATTATTGATAGTGCACTAGTATATCAGCTTGAGAAAAATATTAAACTTAAGTAAAATTTTGCTATCTAATACCATACCCATATTTAATCTTGTGATCAAAAAATAATTCATTTATTTAAATGCTTTTATAAAACACTTTACCAATAATAAAATTGAGGCATATGATTTTGTAAGCCAAATAAAAACTTATCAGCTTTTACAATATGTGATGCAATTTATCATGCAGCTGATACCTGGCAAAATGTAATATCCAATACTATTATAAACTGTTAGAAGAAAGCTGGTATTCTTCCTATTAATAATAATAATATTTTATCTATAGATTTTTAAAATATTAAGAATGAACAACTTGATGAGTTAAATAATTTGATTGCAAAACTCCTAATTGATAATTTATTTAATACTAATGAGTTTTTATATCTAGATGATATTTTACTAATTAAAGAAATACCAAATAATATAACTCTAATTGAACAAATTTATTATAAACATAATAACGATAATACTCAATCTGATAATAAAAAGATAAACCATTGTGTAAGATTTCTTTACAAGAAGAAACTCATCTTGCTAAGAGTTTAGTAGAATTTTTGTTGCAACAAAATAATGAATTTGGTGTTTTAGCTGAAGAATTAGAGATAGTTAGACATGTAAGTAAAATTATTAGATACAAAGAGATGAATACAAGATGTCAGATATCAATAATGCAATTTTTCTATAAATAAATTTTTGCTAAAATGATTTTATTTTTATAATTTTTGTAAAATATCATTTCAAAATACTTATTTATACAATTGTATTGAAAGCCAAATGTAAATTAGTTAAAACCAAGTTAAGTATTGATATATAACTGATTTTGGTAATACTAGCCATTCTAGTATTGTCTATAATTGCAAAATCATGATTACAGAATTATTGGTTGTTTTATTATAGGTATTTAGAGTTACCTATATATGATTATTTGATAAAAGTATAAATAAAATACTGGTAATAATTATTTTTGCTTAAATATTGTATAAAAAATAGCATTAAACTAGCACAATTATTTATTAGATGAAGAAGTTCCTATAAAGTAATTCTCTAGAGCTAGACTACATTTTCTATATTGTAAATATTATACCAATTCACAGTGTTTTACTTGACATTAAATTTATTAAATTTATAAAAAAATTCTTTTTTTATTTATAATTACTAATTTATGATCAATAGTTACATTTTTTTATATACTTAATAATTATATTTATCGATGTTTATATTTCTTGCAATGATCAAGTCACAAGCTTAAATAACATAAAAGTTAAAGATGCATCAAAATAAACCTCTCACTAACACATTCACCGCTATAATCCCAGATCACCCTCCTACACATCATATTAGCATAGCTAAATATAATACATAGGAAACCCTGTTCCCCACAACCAATATATCTTCATCGTACATAGCTAAACTAAATCTAGTGGAGGCCAAGTAGCCCACTCTAGTAGAGCTTTGGGCCGAGAATAAATTAGTCCTAGCTGTAGGTCCCTGTAATAATTCATGTCACCTATTTAATAATGTAACACATAATTATTCAATAAAGACCGAGGCCAGGCCTCACTCTTAAAAAAAATAAAATAAAATAAAATAAAATAAAAGTTAAAGACTCTAACTACATGAAAGTTTATAAATTAGATGTGAACATGGGTCTATTAATTTAGAATAAAAAAAAACTAACTATTGACCCAAATTTCAGATTCCATGTAATACAAAACAAAAATTAATATTGCTAGAAATTTTTTACTGGCTAAATATAAATATAAAAATTATTTAAATCAAAAAATATGAATAAAATTTAAAACTTACATTACATATAATAAATTTTAACAATATTATTAAAGAATCGTTCCAGCTAATTTAAATTAATTAAATTATTAAGTGATATCTTAATTACTCAAATTACATTGAGGAGCTGTTTGAGAGAATAACATGTATTTTTCGATTATGGGTGATATTAATATAATAGTGCTTTTACTTATATAGTAAAATTAATTCGTTTTTTCACAATATTAGTTTTATAAAATATGATTGGTCAAATTCACTATACCGGATATTAATGATATTTTATTAGTAAATCCATTATAGCGTAATAGCAGATATTCATTATAACGGATGAAAATTCCCAGCCCAGCAATCCGTTATAGTGAGGGTGAACTGTACACTATATATAAATTCTTGCTCACTTTAGTCACAATATTGCAATAAGTACATAGAATGTCTGATTTTAGAATGTGACTATTGCGGGGTTTTACTGTATATCAAATATCTTAAATAATCTACTACATCAAGAAGGTTAATAGAATAAATTTTTTTTATTTACAAATTGTGCACTATTTTTATAAGGAGGGTGAATAGGAATATGCGATCTATCCATTACACCAACAATATTAGATAATTTATGTTCTAAGCCTGATACTCCATATACAAACCCTTGTATTATAGTTGCTAATTTTGTTCTTCATAGCCACATTATTCTTTCTCATTCTAAACCTAACAAAACCTTCAAGAATCGATCTGTAAAATGATATACTGATCTTTGACTTACACCAGGCTTACGTTATTAATATTTTTATAACATATTTTCTTCATAATTTTATTTGGTTAAACTAGACTTGTCGTCATAACGGTTTACGTATATACGCATGTCTAAATCGAGCAAAATAATAACAGATAACTTTAAATGTACAATAACATTTACCATTATTGATTCAATTTGATAAAAGTAATTACTGTATTAATAGAGTAAGCAAGTCCCATGTTTGCATAAAAACGAAACCGGATAGTTAACAAAATGAAATCAGCACTAATCTAAATAAAAACCAGAAGCATTATTAATAATTATAGGATTTATATTTCCACTATTTTCTCCTGCGAATCTGATCTTCAAGCAATTCCTATTTATCTTGATAATAAAAATAATACTGAAAAATGGTTTGCAAAAAAAGAATATGAAACTGGAAATAGACAAAAAAAACATTTATTAAATATGGGGATGGAATTATTTGGTGTGAATACTCAGGTCTTACGATTATTAGAGATTTCACCGTATCCATACTCATTATTTAATTGTGAAATTGTGACGCCAAAGTAAATAATGATTTTTTTCAAGGTATTAGTGGCTTTCGCACATTCC